ATTGGCGGCATAAAACCAGTCGGCACGTTAATCCCTCACAGAATCAACCAAGTCATAATCAAAGAATTTACCCTTAAGACCCTGACGAAACTGAATCCCGCAGCCACTAAGAACATGGGTGTCGTCGCGGCGGGGTTGGAGTTTCAGACGGAAGAAGTAACGAAAGAGAGAAAGAGAAGGAGGAATTCCAAGAAAAGTTTCACAAAGATGAACAAAAATAGAAAGATGAAGGTCATCATTGGGAGCAAGATGGTTCAGGCTAATTCCAAAATAGCTGAGAAATTGGTAAAGAAAAGCAAAAGCAGGAAGGCAGAGTCCGGCACAGATAAAGTAGACAAAAAGAATAATCTCACCAGGACCTGGAGTAGGGACCCGATGCTCGCCTGGAGCTCTCCAATCAGCAAACTCCTTGCCCTAGATCAGACCATCACTGACAAGCTCGCGCAACTGATCTTCAGTTGTAGTCGGAGCCGGCCAGATCTTCTGAGCAGCCCTCATGGCCATGAATTCTTGATTTTCAATCACGGAAAGCGATGCCTCCTCGTCCACAAAGGCTGCCTGGGACTTGCTCGCTGATTTCTTCCTGCCCATATACTAGCGAAAGCAAAAAAAAGCACAATGGAAAGGTGATGCTCAGGTGGCGGCGCTCAGATGACAGTAACAATGGCGGCGACGGAGTTTTGAAGACTAGGATTTCAAGGCAAAAATAGGGCAGTAAAGAAAAAAGAAGAAAGACCTATAAATAGATTTTTACAGCAATAGAAGCGCGGCCAACTAGGCCCGTTTAAACATGGCATGAGAACGCAACGGTTCATTTCTCACCACGACTGACGCAGCTAAAATGACGGACGGCACAATTCTACACAACGGTACAGTTCAACGGGCAGATTTCAGACTTATCCATCCAGCACCACGGTGGAGGTATCATATTGCTACAAAAAGATCTCATCAACCATGAAGCAACGAAGGGTTACCTCACAAGGAACACAAGAACCCGGATCTTATAGAAACAACTCGGGAATCTAATAAACAACTAGGACTTCAGCAGAAGAAAGAATGACAACTCAGAAGACGAGATTCTTTCCATTAGAAATGACTTAAAAAATTACAAGATTACACATCTTATAAGACCCAACGAACTTAGTACTACGACAAGCAAGGTAGCAAAAAGGAACCAGAACACAACTAGGCTCTGGAACGACTACGTGTTCCAAATTGCTACTAGGTAGAACAAACCGCACTCGGCTACACTGTTTTTTTCAAAGGAAGAACGCAGCACATCCAAGGCGGAGATCAGCAGCACGGTGGGACAACATGGACCAAAAGAAGCCTACAGGCATCTGTCTACCCAAGTCCGATGTGATACTGGATATGGTGTTGATCTGCACCGGACAGTCTCTGGGCAGGCGACGAGGATCAACCCAGAACTGTTGGATGAAGGAACGTATCCCACATCATAAGATTTCCTCCAACTACCGCCACGTACTTCCCGGTACAATGTCGCTACGGGATTAGTCTACCTCCAATCCCTATCACAAGACTTCCTCCAGCTACGACAAGATATATAAAAACTACAAAATACGCCCGGGGGCTGCTCTACTTCACAAACTATCATATTTATGACTATAAAGATTTCAGACCACGCAACAAAATGCTCGATGAATCGAAACAGCACATAAGGAGGATATTTATAGGCCAAAGAAGCGGTGCACATGGACCGGGAGCACCAACGGAACAAACCTAACAAAGGACACAATGAAAAGACAATTCAATGAAAGAGGACTCAGGCGTGAAGGAGCAGTACTCATGAACGAGCATATCCGAAAGAATATACCAACACTGTACAACTCGTGAACAAATAGCATTTACTCTCAACCACCACCGTACAACTACATCTGACAACAGCAGACTACCAGAGAACGTACCATGATCCTGTATCCGAGTTCTTTTCGAATAAAAGAACCCAGGTTTATGCTCGGGAGCTGCAATAGGAAAGGCTTTCAGTCATTTGAACAACTCAGATTCAAGATCCTCCAACTTTTTGTTCCAAATAGCAAGAGACTCGGGGACTATACTCAGTGAGTGCACTTTTTTCTTCAAAAAAGCGCACATCACCCGGAAGACTTCTTCAAGACAGCAGTTCTCAAACAATATAAGATTCAAGATCCTCCAACTTTTTGTTCCAAATAGCAAGAGGCTCGGGTGCTACACTCAGTGAGTGCACTTTTTTCTTCTTCAAAAAAGCGCACGTCACCAAAAAGACTTCTTCAAGACAGACCACTTCAAGGCCTCACGACAAAAAGAACCCGGACCTAACTATATCCGAGCTCTTTTTTGATAAAGAATCCGGGTATATGCTCAGGAGCCATTCGACAAAGAATCAGAGCGATTTCAAGAGAAGACCCTCCAGCTCCTTGTGCCAAATAGCAAGAGGCTCGGGGGCTACACCAAAATGGGAATACTTTTTTCTTCAAAAAGGTACACACCACGTGAAGATCTCACGAAGCGCTACACGGTTTCGCTCAAGAAAGCACTCGGACGACGCTTGTTCCTGCTCGGCAGGACCTGAAGGAACAAGACGAGGCTTCCAGAGCTCAACCATGAAGTGCTCGGGGGCTTGTCGGTGCGGGACCCACAGGATACCCCGCAAGAAAGGAAGAAGATCTAGTCTAACTAGAATTCTCCCCATGTAATCTTAGTAGTAGTATTATTCTGTAATCCTAATAGGAACTCTCACTGTAAACCGACTAGGATTCTGACCTCCTGACTATATAAAGGAGGGCAGGGTTTCTAGAGAAGGGACTTGAACGACACAATACTTCACAATCAATCCAACGCAAAGGCTAACGCTGATTGGACGTAGGGCTATTACTCGATCAACGATCGAGGGTTCAAACCTAGATAAATCGACTGTCTCTTGTGTTAACCGTCGAGTTCTGCATACGCTGAAGCCCGAACAAATTGCCCCGGGTACCCCCATGGCAGGCTATCAGTGGTCAAACATCGACACATGCCTACTATTCCAGAAAGGTACAACAAGTATGTCGTGTCTCAACATGCCTCTGATGGATCAACTTCCGAATCAAGCTTTGTGACTATGTACACCTTTTGTGATAGTATGGCTACATCCATCGCCTTAGCATGGAACTAGTGCAATGATTATTGTAACGATCTTATTTTCGAACTATGAACTTATTTCGTAATTTCGGTTCTAGGCAAATGACATGTAATTTATTATTATTTTGGACTTCACTGCATGTACTTTCATTTCATATTTGTAAGAAGTAGTTCAAGTCGGCAAGAATGGCAATCTACTGTCAAACTCCTTTTTTTCTGGAGCTGGAGACACCCTCCTAGCTAAACACCTCTATCAGCTCCAACTCCACCCAGAGCTAGCTCCATCTAAAGTTCTAAAGTGGAGCAACTCCACCTAAAATTAGAGTCATGCGAAACAGGGCCTATATACGTATATCTTCCTCTGATATTTGTAAGCTCCTCGTCCATGCACTGGTACACCTGGAACAGCTGCGCTTGGCCGTCCGCATCGTGGTTGCACTGATCCAGGTTCACCGTTTACACGGTCCCCTGCATGATGGCGTCCCTGACGCTGCTCAGTGGGTACGTCTCGGTGTCCGACGGCAGGATCCCGACGCCCGCGAGTATCGCGGCCAGGTCGTGCTTCGCCTTGGGCCCTTGAGCGCTCGTGCTGCTCCAGGTTCGGGATCCCCAGACCTCAGGCCACAGGCCTACAGCCCGCCGCCGGCTTGCCCGTGTCCGGGAAGTAGCAGCCCTGTCACAGACCACTGCATGCATGCATCAACAGGAAGTCAGGAAGACCCGATTAGATTAGATTCGTCGTCGCTGGATTACATTCATCAAAGGTTGATCGATCGATCTCCGGTCAAGGCATGTATGCGTGCAATGCACTCTCATCACCTGTTGAATAAGGTAGAAGAAATCGAACTTCTCCACGGTGGACGAGACGAGGATAGAAAACAGCAGCACCAATACGATCACAATCTTCATCCTTGCCAATTGGCGAGTTTTGGTCACGGGCGGAGGTTGCGGCGGGATGCTACGCCTCGTCGTCCTTGCACGGCGAAGTGGACGGGCTGGGCTGGGTCGTGCAATCAGAGCGCACAACAAAGGATAAGGGAGGGGCATCTCAGTCTTTTTGCATGGCCTCAACACCCTGGTAGGCTGGCGTGTCTCGCCACGTCAGCAAAATTAGCAAAAACTAAACAAAGCTTCTCTCACCGATGACAAAAATGTAGATGACATTCTAATAGTGATTTTTAAAGAGCAGCATCCAATGACAAAAAGTTAAATATCCCTCTAGTCTAGGCCTAAACCCAAAATACCTTGCACGGGATGTAGATGGGGCCGGACACGCGCGATATGCACAGCTGCCAGCGACCAAGTGTCTCCTACCCACGACCAAACTTTGGAGCCGCGTCGTGCCCTTCCTCGCCGCGGCCAGTGACCAAGCGCCCCCCCGTCCCACGCCAGCGCCGTCGTGCCCTTCCTCTGCGTGCGCTGGACTGCGATGGGACCGGTGCCGAGCACGCACGCTCACCGGCGGGGCCGAGCGTCGAGCATGGTGGTGGAGATGGCAGTTTTCAACACCGTGGACGGGTTGGTCGGGAAGGTGATGCGACGGCGAAGGCGCTGGCGCTGGCGGCCCGTCTCCTTACTGGGCTGCGACATGGCAGGCCTAGGGCGGCACCGCCTATTCGGCCACCCAGGGAGTTGTTAACCTCCGCTCCTCTCGCCTTCTCCTCTCCATCCGTCCCCTCCCCAAACCCTAGAGGCCTAGACTAGAAGACGCACACGCACTAGATCGGTTGGCGTCCATGGTGAAGTCGTTGCCCCGTCGTCGTCCTCTCCTTCCTCCGCTCCCTCTCCCTTTCCCTCGCCTCATCCACTTCATTCTCTCCCATCCCCATCCCGTGCGACTGCGAATGGGGGAGAGGGGACGCTAGATCCGGCGCTCGGTGCCCATGGGGAATATCAGTAAACTTAAGCGTGGTCGCTCCCGTGTCACCCCGCGCCGCACATGTCAAACCCTAACCTCCTCGAGCAAGGTCGAAGCTGCGTCAATGTCGGACAAGTGCGAGATCCAATTCGATGCCGATCCCATCCAAGGCGCATCAGGCGGTCCAGGACAAGTCGCCCAAGTCTCCAATTTTGAGGCGACGCACAGAGGTCAATCTTCCCGACTGCCGCTGGATCTTTTAAATTTCCCTGGTAACTAATGATTCGTTATTTGAGCATCTTTTCCTTTGGTTTGTTTAATTTCTCTCTACCGTTCACCACGTTAACTGTTTTTTTTTGTCCTTTCAAATGTCTTCTCGTGGCTTCCTGATGGCGAAATCAGATGAATTCAAATCACTGGAAATGGACAGACTACTTCCTTGTGACTTAAAAAACACTAATCCAACTGCCTTGCAGCAGTACAATGCCTACCTTGACTGGTTTTACGACTCTCATAGAGGTCCTGCTCCTGTTGCATCCCTTGCTGATACTGCCTCCATGGTAACCAGCTCAATTCTCTGCTTATCTACGAAATCAGTACAAAGTTGTTGTGTTGGGTCACAAAACTCTATCCGGAATTTGTATTTCTTTTAAAGAAACTATGCTAAAAAAGTAAGTCATTGGATTTGTCCAATACAAATTTACTGACGACTCTAATACAAAATTCATACCAACTAAGTGTTAACAAACATGATTTTAACTGTTGTTAACGTACTTTTATGGACTCATGATGCAACTGTGTGATCCATTTTGTGCCTCTTCGTGAATAAATAGGAACCAAATAATTACAATTAGACTGTCATGAGAAAAGGCCTATTGTGGGTACAGTCAAATCTTCCAATACGGAATACTCTCTGTACAGAAACCTCCAGTCCAAATGGGGCTTTTCTTTAGGAATTTTCACCTTTTTTAAGCGTTTGAACCTATGCCCAGCCTTGTTGCTTCATTCATTGGGCTGAAATGCTGTGACGCTAACTTCAGCGCCCATGGGAGGCGGTTTTTGTAATTGCTCCGTAGCTCCTTCCTTTATATGCACAGCAGGATTCACTTAAATTACACCATTTATCTTTGAAGTACTTATTGGGGATGATATGCATAAGTAATGATGGTTTCTTTCTTTGAAAGTATTTGGAGAAGGAGAACAGCATGGTGTCCTTGTGGGTGAATTCACACGCCTGTAGTAGTATTCGTGGTTCCATAGTGAATAAATGCATTGTTAGCTATATGCATTTTGCGATTAAAGGAAAAGGTGAAATAGAACATCCATATGCCTTCGTTGCTGCTGAGGTACATCTCAATCTCCTGGCTGTTTAGTTTGATTGATTGATTACCATATTGATTCTGTTTTAATGATTGAAAGAGAGGCTCACTACTTTCTTGTATTGGTTATTTGCAAAAAAAAATAAAATATGATGGATGGTTTCAAGTGTCTTGCTAAGGAGGCTGAGTTGATTTGTGAATGGCTCAGGCGTGGGCGCCGTATTTTTACCGATGATGAGTACACCTTTTGCCATAACATCCGGGTTGCTGCTGCTGAACTTTTTATTACCTGTCGGAAGTGGTCTTCTCATATTGCTGCTGCCCTTCTGGTGCGTGCATGCCTGCCTTCACCTAACCACATTCTGGTACACTTGTCTGAAGTTTGTGTTACATGACTTTGATCAATTTATTTGCACCATCAGGGTATCAGAAAGGAGGCTGAGTGGTTGATTGAGAACTTGAAGTGTAATTTTGGTAAATCCATTAGTACCTCCATGAAGATTCGACAATTTGCCTTAGATTTTCTTTGGGAAAAGTTTCATGAGCTTGAACCATGTTATGCGTGGGGAAATGAGGAGAGCAGTGAAATTGAAATGGCCTCTGAGAGTGATGATGATGTCGCTAAAAGCCAAGATAACAACGACATGGTATGGTGTATGTTCTGAAAAATATGATCTTGATTTTACTCGATGGAGATATCAATCTCATGCTACAGTTGACTCACATGTATGGTTTTGGTTTCTTGCCAGGGGGATTGCTATGATGAAGACTACTTGAAACTTTATCGTTAAATGCATGCCAGGGGGATTGCTATGATAAAGACTACTTGAAACTTTATTGTTAAACACATGCTGAGACCAAATATATCAGTTGTTTTCTTTTGATGAATTTCTCTAGGACAAACTATCTCTGATCTTTCTTATGCTGCTGCATCGGTCTACAGTAGTCCATTATACAATGAATTTCCATTTTCTTTCAGCACAGTTATGTCCGATCTTATTATTGAACCTTTGTGTAAGTGTCATGGCTGCGTCAATTGCCATAGAAGGCCACTAACATTTACCATATCAATGGCAGGTTTGGGCACTATATTTTTCTAGGGTTAATTTGATCCATGTCATTGCAAATGTGCCTCTATTTAGATAAATGCCATTACAATTCGTCTATTCGTAGCCATGTCACTCAAATTTTACAAAATTGAAAGGGCCTTTTGTGCGTGGGACATCCCCAAAGTGTGATCTTGTGCACAACATAGACTCATTGATTTTAGCACACTGTAAAAACACAATTTGGTCTGCCACACATTCAACCTATTAAAATATAGAATCCAGCCTAGGAGAGGGAAGAGAGGGTTTTAGAATGACACTAATGCACTAAGGGCCTGTTTGGCAACTTGGTAAATTTTACAAATGAAAATTTAAGCAGCTGTAATCCCTTGTGCACTAGGAATTGTGATCTGCTGTTTGGGTAGAAACTAATTCTGAAACTTGGCCTTGTGATACGATTGACATTGGACATACTAGGCTTGATACAGAGAAAAATGAAGAACAATGCAAGGATCGTGTGATTATACTTTTGCTGGTGCTGTCCGATTGCCAAATCATGGCCTGCTATTTGATACTCCGCAGGAAACAAATCATGAAAAACAAATCTGAAAACACAATGGCCTGCAAACACGAAAAGGCAGTCGGAGGAGGACGAGATTCAAACTTGCAACAGCTCCCAACGCTGGACCGAGAGACCCCGTCTGTGCGGGATCGATTGCTCTTGACAAATGACAAGCTCGCCAGCCTCGTCGTTGTGAACTCATCGTCTTGACCATGGGGGCTCGCCGCGCCATTAGACATGTACAATCAAAGTTGTACTGCTCCTGCGGTGTTGATTCGCTACAAGATTCAAGACCCTGCCGCCGCACCCTTGTCTCCTTTGCACAGGCTCGATGTAGATAAGATCCTGGCTAGCAGTACCGTGGATCAAAGTCGCAGGGAGTGCACATCGAGACTGTAACTTCGTGGATGTGTGAATTGAAGAGGGGAATCGAGATGTAGAGGATGGAGAGGGAGAGAAGGAATCATAGTTCGTGGAGGAAGGGCGAGCTTGATGGCAGACGGACATAAGAAGAGTCAGAGAGCTGGACGACCGAATTTTTTACTTTTTAGCCCTTTTTTCGAAAATTTCTCACAAATAGACCCCTGGCGGAAAGAATTCAAAAAATGGACCCTAGCTCGGCGCCACCGATGCTGGCGCCGAGCCCCTGGGCTAGGGCAAACCTACATGAAAGGAAGCTCGGCGCCAGTCACTCTGGCGCCGAGCTCGGCGCCGTAGATGCTGGCGCCGAGCTCGGCGCCGTTGACGATGGTTCGTGGGACTACACTGCGAACATCTTGCTTCATACAACGCACTATGTCTGGTGTGAATGGAGACTCCGATGCCCTCGGCATGGGACCCTCCGCTGGGTACACTCTTAACTCTGTGATTACCGTACTTTGCGTACTTACTGTATCGATCAGTATGCCATATTTGTATGCATTAACGTTTGTTAGTGATATACACATGCACATATATGTCGTCACGAACCGGCTGATGTTTTATTTCTAAATTAAATTGACCATGAAAATACCTAATTATCTAACAATGGTTAAAAATAGATTTCTTTCAAACTACAATCGGCCTTAACACTCATATGCACGATTTTTATTTTTTTGAAACACCCTATAGGTGGTTTTTATGAAAAAGAAAGTGTTGGTTAACGTGTTTACTAGCAAAAGTAAGGTTTCATTATGAAAAAGATTGCAGCATATATATAGTGTGCACCAGATATCCATGAATAATGCATCCCTGGTTTTTGCCCTTTTATGTGATGAGAACCGAGCATGATATAATTATTACATAGGTATGGGATGGAGAAAATTTTAGACTAACCTTTCGGAGAAATATCTTCCGAAAGTTTGAAGAACCTCTAGTTTGCGCTAGTGGGGATTGCTGAAAGCATTAATTTGTCTAATGAAGAAGATCTTGTATCAGGCAACAACTGCCAGGTCCAGGCGTTAAAAAACGGTTGCCTTGATGTAGAGTGATATTGCCGGAAAAGATTCTCTATAATTACATGTGTATAGCTGAATCTACCCTACTAATGCACCATCTTTTCTTTCCTACATCCACACAAGAAAACGACCTCCCGCTGAGATGTCCCCTCTAAGTCCACCCCAAAAAGTGTATCCAGGAAAATAACACATTTCAAACGAACCGTCCAGATGCACTCTAAGCCTTCTCTCTCCTTACTCATTACACAATCGAGGGCCTGGATTGAGTGTATCAAATCTCCTCATTCTCCTCCACACCCACGTCATGCAGCCCCACCGAGTATTACGAACGCCACGCCGCCAAAAATCACAGAACTTCCCGGACACGCACGGAGGCGGAGGAACAAGATGGTCATCATCCCCAAAAAGCACGGCCTTGTAGTTGAAGGCGGCGCTGCCCGCTAAGCCCAATCTGTCCTGCCCGCTAAGCCCCCACCGCATCCCCGGCCGTGCCGCTGCTCCTCCGCCGCCGCCTCGCCACCACTCTCTCCGTGGCCACAGCGCGGGACTACGTCATAGCCAGCTATGAGAATAGGATCCCCGTCCCCCGTTTCCATCGCCTACTACTTCCGCCGTGGGGACGCCGTCATCCTACTCTATGTGTGTCCTCTGCTCCCTCCCAAACCCTAGCTGAGGCGCCACCACCACCTTTAACTACAAGGCCGGCATCAACGGCGACGACTTCGAGGCTGCTACGCGAAGGATGGAGGGCAACTACGATACCTTCACGACCTCCAAGACTGACGACGTCGCCAAGCCACTCAAGGTCGCGGGCATCCCCTAGAAAGATCCACATCTGGGAAGCAAGGACCGGGCTGGCTCCGGCCGGGACAGTGTCGATCGCGTGGTGCCGCAGGCCGGGAGGGCCGTGTGCGTGCCGGTCGGCAGTCATCCTGGCCGAGCTGCCGCTAGACCACCACTTGCTAGCGCTGCCGGATCCGCCAGTCGCGAGTGCCGTTGGGCCACCGTGCGTGTCGCCGCCAGATCCATAGTCCAGTCGCGGGCGCCGCCGGGCAGGAACAGGCATCGTCGGGCCCCTCACATGCGGTCGAGCAAGGAGCGTCTCTCGAAAGGTCACCCTTCCGCTTCTGTTTTGGTTGATAAAAAGATTTATTAAATTTCGGAGTGTTTTATCCCAATCAATGATAACCAATTTTGGTGCTGCTTTTGTTGATGCCAAATTTGATTGCTGAACCAGGTGTCTTCTCTCATGCAGAGACTGTGGGTGCACCAGTTTCTTACCAGCGACGTGATGCTCTGGAAGAGTTGGAAGAGGCTTCTGACCCTCATAAAGAAGAGTTAAAGGAGGTGGACGCACCGAAACAAGACCAAGATGAAGGTGAGACATGCACATGGTGTGCCTGTTTCCATTTATTTTCTGAAGCAGCTGCACGTTATAGCTATTTTTTAACTTTTGTTTTTGTATTGAATTTTCAGACGTCGTTATCATTGAGGATGAGAAGCTAATGGAAGAGACCTCAGCAGAAGAGCCATCTGTGACCAATCAGGAGTGTACGGATAAATCGGAAATGCAAGAACACCAATTGGACAATGAGGAGTGTCATGCTCCCTTGGTGACCCCCGAGGTAGTTTCATTCCACACTAAAATACATATCATTGCCTTCCCTGATTGTTTACTTAGAAGGTCTGGCTAACTAGCAATATAAAATATATGTAATTTGAGACAGCTGCAAAAACATCCTGAGCTTTGGTCTGATGTTTGTTGTTCTCATTTGTAGCAGCAGTGGTGGTTTGCAAAATCGCAGTGTCAACCACAGCAAAATCGTGATGGGCGAAAGCGACAGTTTCTTAGGTTACTCAGTTGATATGAAGGGGTATTGTCAACTCTTTCCTTCTGATATCTGAATCAAATTTCTGCATGATTATTTTTATACTGTGTCCAATAATTGTCAAAATGCTTAATATATTTATTACTAAGATTCTTATGTTTGCTATGTGGTTCAGGCGATAACACAGGTGTCAAAGGTGGTCTGCAGTTTCAATTAATACTGTCAAAATGGTTTTTGTGATGTAGTTTCAAATATTATAGCTAAATTAGTGTAGAAATTGAAACTCCCTGCCATTTTTTTCTTGAATCTTATATATTTCATTTTATTCTTGACTATGGAAACGTATATTGTCTTTTGGTTGTTTTGGTTTGAGTTGCTCAGGGTCCACCATGGGAGCCAGCCACCGGGCAAGGGGAGACCGTGGTGGGGGGCGCCGCCTCTGGGCTAGGCAAGGCCACAGCGGGGTGTGCGGTGGGCGGAAGCTGATGATGATGCATCAGTAGCTCATGCACCTCTGCCGGTAAATCGATCCAACTGCTTGGACAGAGGGTTAGGCTGCTGTCATACCATTTGTATGTCTTATTTTTTTGCCACGTGGTTTTCAGTATTACTGATTGGTCCATTTAATGCCTCATATCTTGAGATTAAGGTTAAGTTATTGAATTTCGATGTTTTACAAAAAAAAAAGAATTTGGGAGAATTTTAGAATAGGAAGGGGTATTAGAAAATGTATGTTTTCAGCAATTTTAGATTAATATATTTGGAATGAAATATATTGTTTGGGGAATTAGTCAAGTGATTATATGCTCTTCGCATAACTAGAGTCCTAGGCATACCTACTACGGTGATGTTTTCATTGCAAAGAAAACTGGTAAGAAAAAGTAAAAGAAAAAAACAAGTATCTTCCTTTGGATTGAC